ATATTATCCTCAAAAAATTCACTATTGCATCTTGCATATTCCCCAGATAAATAGAAAGTAGCAACCATAATATTAAAAAACCAGAAAAGGACTAGTTCCATCCTGATAACTATCGACCAATCAGCCTTTTACTTCTATTTCAAAATTCTTTGAAAAAATATAAAAAGCATAATAAAAAAAGCCTAGGTGTTATTTTCAATCTTTATTGCTACTATCCCCCAACACAATTAACATTTGACAACGGAATATACCTTATCAATCATCGGTATAATACCTCGGATTGTCAATGGATAAGTAACTAACATGGGAACCCCATATTTCATCTAATCTTTAACAAGCGCCTTTCCATGTTATATCCTATTCTTAATAAATAATCTGCAGTACAAAAAATAAAATGCTCTCTCTCCTTAGTTAGTTCTCAGTTAGCCATAACACACAATATGTTATCTGCATATCTATTAAAATACTCATAGCATTTTCATTGTTACATATTTTTCCATTATTATTTATTTTATTAATTAATACACTATTATTATAATTTATATTACTATATCAAATTGACATAATCAACATAATTGTGTACCGTTGAAAAAAGTTAATATCTTAATTCGTATCTAACTATTATATAATATAATTAAATATCATATTCATATAGTTATAAATTTTACAATTCTAAATATTCATTGATGTAAATAACTGTGGCCAAGAACATCTTATCTTTCTATCAATAAAAAAAAAATTAAAAAAACAGGAAAATATTTTATATCTGCTCTATGATCAAAATTATAGTTTATAGGCACAATATTAAGTAGTCTAGAACGATACAAATGGCGTTAATTTTAAGGGAAAAACAATTTTAAATCAGAAAGACTTGTATCGTTCTATTTTATGACGCTTCTATCGCACAGGCAATACTATATGAATAACAGGCCATAAAGGTTGAAAGATAGTTTAAACATCGTGTAGATCACTAAAACTGATTTTGTTATAGGCGTGCGCACAAATATGTTTGGCACTACCCAATAATTGTCAACATAAATATGTTATAAGTATGTACCGATAATGAAAAATACATTTATATTGTTACTATTTTTTTTCTATCCATTTGAATATTTTGGAATTGTTCTACAAAGAAGAATGAAATAAGAAAATTATCAACAAAATAGTTACTTACGCTATTTTGGAGTGTGTGATATTTAATTAATTGACAAAATTATGAAAAATAATTTGAAGACCATATGTAGAATTAATTATTATTTTGTATAATCTATTGAAAGGTAATGTAAGTTGATTGGAGAGGATCTCCCACCTTTTCACCTAATTAGTTAATTTTTCATGGGCACGCCCTGAACTTAAAGTCTGCACACGTCTATGCATTTTATACAGTGTTATGAATTTTACATTAACAAGTGTTTGCACCTAACAATTATATTTCTACTAATATTTATGATAATTTGTGGGCGTTATATAAGTCACTCAAATTTACAAACGAATTTTAAAATACAAAATAACCTAAAAAATACAAACTATATCGAATAGTTCTAAGTTTTTCAAAGATTTTCAGAAAACTATTGAATAAAAACTTATAATATAGAATATAAACTTAAAATAACCACGCTAACATACCTTTCAAGTTTAACCCGCGATCTTACGCGGTATAACGTATAAAAATTGTTGTGTATTACAGTGTATGTGTGGCAGTGTATTACAGCATTAAAAGTTGATCATAGAGGTATAAATGGAAAAATGACATTACTATAAAAATAATATACGAAGATCCAAGATTTTGTAATTTTTCATATTCTAAATTTTTTTTTTTTTCACTTTTTATACGTAGTATAAAATGTTACATTGAAAAAAATTATATATCACTATTTTTCATATTACATGTATTAAAGAAAATAAATCATTTCTATTTTTTCGATTAATACTCTGGAGGATAAACAATTTCGTCGTTTCTAGACATTTTTTGTCTTTGCAAGTATATCACAAAATAGTTCATAATTTATATACAAGTATATGTACAAATAAGTACAATTTTGCAATATGTTTTCAAATTTTTTTTTAACTTAACCATGCTGTCCAAATTATTTCAAAATCAGCACATTATAAAATAATTACCTAAAAATGTTCTATTATCGATCTCATATAAAATCTTAAACGATTAGGTACTCCTATTACATTATTGCTGGTCTCAAAACATCAGTTAATAAATAAAATAAACTACTATTGTTGAATGACTTTACTTTTATTGAGTCACTCAGAGTTTAAAACAGTGTGACTTTCATCGTTGTCAGATTTTATTGAAACGTAAAATCTACACTTAAAATATATTACTATTATTATTATTATGATTACTGTATCAAACGTTTGTTATAATTAATACTTTCTCATGCGAGTGCGACAATATCGGTTTTTTTCCAAGTCGAGAAAACAAAACAAATATGTACATTCTTCGTCAGTTCATTCAATCTGAAAACTGCCTGTTGAAACGTAAATGGACGATTCTCGTTATAGTTGGATTTGAGTTCAATGCGCCTTTTTGTTTGATGAGTGAAAATAACTTCAAAGAATATAATACGAATATCTTTTCCGAAATCCTAACGTCCATTGTTCACCGCCGAAAGGATGAAACAATTCGTAGAGACTGAAATTATGTACAATTTAGTGCTATCTAACTTATTCGAAGAAAACCTGTTTGAACTCAGAAAACTTAATGCAAGGCCATTAGTAAAAGACATTTCAATATCTTAAAACTAAAATGTACCTTATCTTACTCGTCATACATTTTTAAGGGTATTTCTACACCCTTCCTAAAGAAATAGCGGTTAAATGTTGCACTCAAAGCGTGGATGCATAAAAGGTGTAAATAATTAAATTGTGCTAACAATTTAAGATAAGTTTTCCTTTAATCGAAATTGCTATTTCATTTTTCAATTTGAAAAAATGTAATATTTATTTAAATTTATTTTTTATTATTTTTTTTTTTTTTTTATTTGAAGAAATATACAATCTATATCAGTAGAAATAGTATTTTATATAGTACGTATATGACAAATAACAGTGAAGAAAAAAGTCAACCAATGATAAGACACTTTAATTTTGAAAGTTTTTGGATTCAAAAGATTTTATTTTTATGTATTTATATATATAATTTTTTTTTTAATTTAAATGTTAATCTATTATAAAAAATCTCTGCACCACTTACGTTTTAAACTTCTAGGAGGACTACCAGGAATTGAGAGAAATTAAAAGTTTTTTATTAAAGCATTTGAATAAGAGGAAAGACGGATGTGGAATCTTTTATAGAAGCATTTAGCTTCTTCATGAATTGTTTTTAATTTTAAATCTGAATGTAATGTATGGTGTTTAGATATGTAAGGGAAGCATTCATTAATTTTCTTATAGCAATATTTTAAATTATTGGATTTTTCTCGTACTTAAGTTGAACTTTTTTTGCATTGATTTTAACAAGGTTTTGTACATCACGAGTTTGACATTAATAGGAGTGTATTTAGTATTACACAGGGCCGCATTAGCGCATAGGCACTATAGGTACTGTGCCTAAGGCCTACGAACATTTTTGAGCCTACGAAAATGTGTGACTACGATTTATATTATGCAAATAGGTATAAAAAAATTTTTTATGGTTTTTGACATTTTACATATGTTTTGGATTAAAATGAATTTTTTTAACATTTGTTAAAACTTTTATTGTATAAAAATGTATAATAGTTATCATATAAAAGTTTAGATTTGATTTTTATGTTGTATATATTATTGCTTTTAAAAGTTTAATACTGCATGAGATTCAACACTTCCTCTCCCAAGGAGAAGGTTTCTTAACCATTTAAATACTGGACAACGGCCTTACAAGGACTGGGGGCCTAGGGCCTACAATAGTGTTAATCCGGGCTTGGTTTTACATATTAAAGGTTTAAACATTAAATATATATTTTAAAGGGAAAATTACCTTTAAATATTTAGTGGTTGATCTCAGTACAATCATGTTTTCATAGCAAATATTAATTAAAAATGTAAGCAATAACATAAAACAAACCATTTTTTTAAAAACATCGAATGAAGTATTAATATTTTTCTTATTTTCTAGAAGTATAATATTCATTATTATTTTTTTATATGTTTGAAAATAGAATTATAAATTAAGTCTTCAAGTATTAATTTTTAAAAATGCATAACTATTCACAGGAAAACGTACTTTGTCGCTATACTTATACATTTAATTTTCTTTGTGATGATTTTGTTTATCTATCATAAGATAATATTTTTACGAATTTATATGATATAACATCTTTAAACAAAGTATAAAGCTTCAATAAACTCCTACATAAATCGGTCATGTTTACAGAATGCGTTTCTCGGAGGAATACAACGTTCACTCGTCGATTTTGATATTACGTGACTGAATTAATTCTTTCGATGTTATTGTACAGAATATGTCTACTTAGTATCAGTGCCTTGGTGATTAACCACGTCTCACTTGTTAGCTTTCAACTTTATACTATTAAGTGTTGAGGAAGGGTCTACTTACTACCACTTTTTTCCACTTCGTTGATTGTGTCGCATCAATGAACTAATATCTATTGTAGTAATTGATATTACTTATTGGATTATTCAATAGCCCATATTTCATTTAATAGACCTTTATTTTTTTCTTTATATCATATAAAATCTACACACATATATTTCTTGCTGTATTTACTTATTTATCATAGTATCTTGAAATTATCTCATCGTTTAAAAATATTGAGTTTACTAATAAATTAAAATGCTCAAACATAATTAATATCGAAAATATATTAATTGTATTTCCCGAAAATAAATTAAGTAAAAAATTATAAAATACATCTCTTGTTGGGCCGTATAAAAAATAAATTAACATTAGAAAATTATATAAATGTATAAAGTATAAATTATGATAGTACTTGAACTAGAACTATACACATGAAGTTTCACTTAAATTGTTATTTTGTCAACAGATTGAAACACTTTGCTCGACGTACAACCCAAATGTATTCATTGTAATGTACTCGGTAGTAGACGAAAGAAGTTTTGAAATAGCAGAACAGATGCTGCTGTTTTTGTGGAAAGGAGAGTACATCCACACTAAAGGTGTAATATTGGTTGGTAACAAATCAGACTTGGAACGAACGAGAAAAATCCAAACGAATGGCAAGCAAACAAAACATTTCTGTTTTTTTTTTTTTTTAATCCACTATTTATTTGAAAACTGATGAAACTTTTGTTTTAAATAGTTGGACGGAATCTGGCGTACAGTTGGAACTGTAAATTTATCGAAACATCTAGTGGCATTGATCATAATGTAGACAAGCTGTTGGTCGGTATATTAGCGCAAATCAAGTTAAACCCAATCAGAGAAAGGATGTATAACAGTAAAAGAAAAAAATATAGCATTACAAAATTATACAAAGATTTTTTGGCCTACCTAAGAGGTGTCAAGTCCAGTGAAAATTTGTTCAGTATATGATTTTTTTTATTTATTTTTTTTTTTCATTGTGTTTCAAAATGTTTTATGAGGACCAATTTCTTTCACTAAGATCCGATTTATATTTTTCCCCGAGTACAAGTACTACATTTTTTATATAAATAGTATATTCAAGAAAAAAAAATACATATCTAGATTGAATTGGAGTTATTTTTTGAAATTACATGGTTTTTATAATTTATATTAAAAACCTCTCGTCGATTAAGGTTTTCTTGGCCAAATTCCTTTTACCAAATGTGGTTCTAATGATACTCATCGCCTATAATACAAACACAATTCAATGTATTATTGTTTTAAGATAAATATAAAATTATTCAGTCTCAATTTATATAATATAGTAAAATGTTATTATGTAATTGTTATTAATGTAATTATCATCATCATTAAGTTTCATAATCATATAACAGTCCCCAAAAATATTACTTTTATAAATAATGAAATAATTGCAAAACGTGTGTAACCATTGAATCTATATTATAATATAGTGCTTTTTTATTTATGAAAATATAATTGAGTTATAACTTATTTTATAATGTGATTAAATACCTTCATTATAAGTCCTGTAAAAATTCCAGCAAGCACAATGTTCTCGGTAAGTACGAAAAAAAATGATAGCATCATTAAGTCAAATATTATCAGAGTACACTCGTTTCCATAAAAAATCACTTGATCGAACGAATGACCGTCGTCTATTTATTATAGTTAAGAAAGAAAAAATAACGATAAGAACTTAAGAAATACATTCACTAAAAATAATAATTATTATTATTTATAAATATTATTATATTCGGTACTCACCAATGAAAAACACTCCTTTGTCCAAAGGATCTGAATATTCGATTCCAAGTAACTTTTCGACAAAAGTCTTCTCGCGTATTTCATAATCTAAGTCTTTCAAAGCCTAAAAACCACACGACACGTATATTATACGTAAATGTACATTTAATTTTCTCACGACAAAAATCAGCTGGTTTACGTACGTGGTCCAAAAAAGCCGTTAGGAATTTGTTCATATTATTATACGCCTGGCCTATTCTAGCCATATCAGTTTTATCGACTTTCTTGATCCTAAATGATGAGCTCGATATCTGTTTTGATTGTATCTAAAAAATGGAAACGATCGACGACACATTAGATCGAATCGGACACAATATACTCAAATATATAGGATTTAAGTACACTGTTCAGAGGCGCCATTACTCGTCGATAGTACGTCCTCAATGACGAAGGAACCGTCATTTCAAATGTCTGATTTTCTGTGCCCGGCATTAAGCCCCTGTGCCTGACCATGTTATCCTCCTCCTTCCTGAGCTGACCGATTAAGCTCTCCATATCGGTATCCGAAAACCCATGCGCTGATCTGAAAACGCAATTTCACATCAATCGGCAACCAATCATTGCACGATTGTTATTGTATTGACCAACAATATACATATTAAATTTTGTTTACTATTTATATCGCTTTTAATTTTCCAATAACAAAGCATGAACAATCGATATCGACATGACCGTAAAAAATCATCAAAATTATCAATACGTTTCATATACAAAACAATAAAAATGTTCTTGCATTTTATACTTATTGTTATTGTTTTGTATCACTGATTAATGTTTAGACATTTGAATTTAAAATGAAATTTTAAAATATTCACACGAAATAGAAGCTTTTGAATAATTAAAGTTTTTTGTTTATCAAATAACAATTAATAAAAACTAAATTACATTAAACATCATAATATTGAGTATTAAAAATTATTAGTTCTTAATAATAAAAGTCTATAAAAACGGATAGCTAAATTTAAAAATTATCCCAACTACTATTGAATTTATTATACCTACTTAATATTATTTTGTAAATGATTAAATACTCAATTTACTCTTATCAGTAATTATTTTTACAAAATGCCTATAACAAAAAAATTATGGATGACCGTAAATATTCGATCTGAATATACCACTCTTATCGACAGTTGTCAATTTTATTTTTGTGTCATAAAATATGGTTCAAAAAAAATTTAAAAGCTGTATTTTACAAAGGATATTCATGATATTATTATTATACCCCAGTATCGATATCAAAAGTATTAAATCTATTGTTGATATCGTTGGACTTACGTTTTTTTAAATAATAGTAAAATCAGTTTACCTGCCATGGATGTAATAACCGAAGAATTCCGCGGACAAAATGAACACGCTGATGTTAGCCAACGAACAGATGTCGACAAACTGCTGTATACAATTTTTAATGTACGTCTCGTATATTGCCACTGTTACTAACCACTATTATTTGTAAACATTTTGTTAAAAAAACAATTAATACCATTCCTATATTGTAATATATTATATATATTATATTGATTGAACAGTAATAACTGAAGTCACAGTTTACTTCATATAGTAGTATCACCGTTATAATGAAACTAGAAATATTTTATGAAAACACAAATATTTCAGATATTTAATAGATATCTGATATATGATGTATATGATATCTATTTTAATAAAGCAAAAAAAAAATCAATAACTTATGGAAATCATACTATCTCTGTAGAATGATAATATTAGTATTCAGTGATTTTATACTTTTCAAAATAATAATATTACATTAACTATATTCCATCGTATAATCAATACCAATTCATTTTGCCACTAGTAATAGTTGATATCAGCATAGGCGGAGATTAGGGGGGCTTACGGGGGCTTAGCCCCCTCCCCAGATAAATAATTTTAAGTTAAAGCCCCCCCTAAAAATATTCAACAAATAATACCGTACTTTTGTACAGTTTGCAGAATTGTTATCATTATTATATATTCTTATATCCACAACTATATAAGTGTATCTAGTTTGTTTATGAAAGAGGCGATATTGAAGATATTAAAAAGAATATTTCACCTCAAGTATTTCCTAATTTTTATAAAATTATACAACTTCCTTTAACATTACCTATTAGTTCTGCGAAAGAAGTTTTTCTGCTATGAAGAAAATAAAAACATGGCTAAGAACATCTATACATCAAAAACAATCAAATGAACTTTTAATATTATATATTAAAAAAGATAAGATTAAATCTTTAAGTAATGAAGCTATTTTAATTACTTTTAACAAAAAATGTAATGGAATATGATAATAAAATTAAGTTAAAAAAGGTTATTGTATTTTATTAATTATTCTTTTTTTTATGATTATAAGTATTTAAGTTATTTAAGTATGAGCTACGTAAACCATAAATAATAAGTCCTTATTATAAATTAAAATCATTTAACACCGAGGTGAAATAATTCCGAACACCCGAATAACTATCACCCCAGAAAATGTACATGGTATGTATGCTGAACATACAGTAGAATTATTTGCTCAGCGAATTATGCTTTACAAATGGAAATACACCGTTCAAACTTTCCTGCGCTGCTTTTGAACTTTCTCTAATAATAATAGATTTTTTTTCATTTATTTTCTGAGTTGGATTCATGCACACTATACGGCGGCGATTTACGCAGCATTTCCCACTTTCCAGTTTCGTGTGTATTAGTTGTTTACTCTTTTGACATCAAATTAATTACGAACAATGTAAATGGCCCGAGAGAAATAAAAGGTTTTCCCGCGAGGTTTTTCCTACCTGAACTATGTACACGGTACTGAACACAACGACGATCATGCCCAATCCCAACAGTTGACTAATCGGCCTGTACGATATTCGATTCAAATGCACTTCAGGCTCAGCCGCAGCCCAGTTTTCTAAACCATAAATCTAAAAACGAATATATATTATTGGATTTAGAAACGAACACATTTTTTACAATAATTTATTTTTCACACCATAATGTACTGTACTAATATATAATAATGTAATATATTGTACTAATTCACGGATCTTATCATGATTAATTTTATATTTACGACCACATCAAAATGTATTATAATTTATAATTATTTAGTATTTATAATAATACCAAGATACCAGAAAAAAAAATAATTAAGAAATTGGATTCAAAATTCATGTATGATTTTCTACATAAATTATTACAATAGATATGAATGTTCTGTTTTGAATTTGAACAATATAAATATTGTTTAATAATTCATAGATATGAAATATATTATTATATATTTATTAACATTTTTCAAAATATTTAACCCCCCCCCCCCTGAAAAAATTCAAAAACGACAATGTATATAATATAATAGCTATCTAATCACTGTCCATAATATAAAATGAGATACGTATATAAATACTTTTAAGAGTAGTACGGTGAACACGAGCTGCATGGGTAAACTAATCTTCCTTTTCGTCTGTATTTCAGCCCACTCGTTCGCCACGAAATAGCTTCGCCATATGCTTACGGTTTGCTTTTGTGTAGTCATTGTACCGATTTGTTTTTGATTAGGTAAAATTCTTGGTTTTTCCCAATCTACAAGAAATATGTCAATACTTGTTTGTTTCCATATTAGTCGTACTAGTTCAACAATCTGAAACCATTACGTAATTGTTGTACAATATTATTTACACCAATGTTTATATGTTATTTGAATTGAGTAATACTACTCTTTATCTAAAAAAAAAAAAATGATAATGCATAATAGTGTATAATAAGAACAAATTTTCAATTGGCATACAAATTTCATTAACTTCATTTTTTCTTAATATCTCTCAACTACACAAAAATTAATATGTATAACACACTCACATATATATAACGTGTATTCACCAATTTAGGGAACACTGAATTTCTCGGCTGGATTATGTTGGAATAAATCGAATTTTTTTTTTTTACAAGCTAGTGGTATATAAATACACATTTTCAGATAAATCTAACCCTCTCGATACGCGCATGCACAATGCAACTTTTTTTTTTGATACCAAATTCGGATAGACTGAATTTTTTCATGAGAAATTCAGTGTTCCCTAAATTGGTGAATACACGGTATATATATAATGTGTGTCTTTTAAGACACAAATGAGAATATGCAATTCAAAGTCAGCGCTGTGTTAAGTCGCTCAAAATCTGTACCCTACAAATATTTCAGTATATCACTCTCCACACGATAACTTCCGCACCTTGGTAGTCACGTATCAAACTCCACGACTTATTCACGACTTTAGAATCGAAACGGTAATTAAAGCAAATCATCCGTCAAACACGACAAGCATTATACCCTAAACTTAAAAACTATAATAAACCACTAATCACATTCAACGCACGACCTACAAATCTTACCCATGGGCAATAAATTATATAATATTGCAATAAATTATAAAGCTAAAATAACACATCACACTGGGTTCTATCACTAGGTATCTTCTCTCTCATTATTCACAGTTATATTTCACAATCATATGTGTCTATTGTATAATCCTAACAGATTGTAAATCTATATATATATGAATAAATCCCTATTTCCCTTGATTACGCCATCACGCGTGGACGGCTGGACAGAATTCTTTTTTTTATTGTGTTTGATATTATCAGGAAATATAAAAGAAAAAATTAAGAAAATTACGTGAAAAATTAGAAAATTTAAGATTACTTAACCACCATATAAGATTATAATCTAACTATTGCGCTTTGGACAATATAAACTTTTTTTTATTGTAACCTTTTGACGTTTGACATAGAATTAATAGAATGCGTGCTGTAAATATCAGTTATATTTTTAATAATATTTATGTTAGAATGGGTGTACAATATAATATGTAGCAACTCTTTGTGTATAGTATGTGTCAGGACTTAAATTAAAAATAAAATTTACTTTTCAAGTTATAACTATTTAAACATTATTGATTTTATTTTATTTATCGTTATTGGTAATTTAAACACAGACAATACACAAGTCATGAGTGGCTGGCAGAAAGAGCAATTTTAGTAACAAAAAATGTGAACGTCAACGAATTGAATCACAAGATACAACATTTGTTACCAGGAGACTTGGTGTCATACAAATCTAATGATACAGTTTGCGATGCTACTGAAACTGTAATCCAATTTACCAGGCAAGCCACCGCATAATTTACAACTGAAGGTTGGATCTCCGGTTATTTTGCTTCATAATTTGAACCCATCATGGTTGTGCAACGGCACGCGATTAGTCATTATAAAATTAATGAAAAATTTTATCGAAGCCATCATTTTAAATGGCAAATTCCGAGGTGAAAATATATTATTACCGCGATCCCTATTATACCCACAGATGTGCTAATACAATTTAAACGCCTTCAATTTCCAATTAGATTGGCATTTGCAATGACTATCAATAAGTCTTAAAGCCAAACGATATCTGTCTGTGGCTTAGATTTAAGCACATCATATGTTTCACACGGACAATTAAGTCGAGTGCTCTTGATCCATCCAGTTTGTTTGTGTTGGCGAAAGATGGGATAGCAAAAAATATTGTACATTCTGTTGCATTAAGGGATTGTTATTATTTTTTCTAATATTGTCATAATTAGCGATTTATATAACTTTAAAGGATCAATTTTAATAATTATTAGAAAATAAATGTTTGATGTTTTTTTTCCTTTTTATACTTCGTTACCGTTCACAGCACTCCATACCTCTTTCACTTATATATCACATCCTTACACACTTATATTAAATTAGTTATTTTTTTCTAACAAAATATTCTCTAAAAATAATTTATATGACAAAACAACGTTTGTCGGGTCAGCTAGTAATATATAATATTATACATTTTTTTCGCTATACAAAACTAAAATAACCGTTCACACTGTGGCTCGAATGCGTGCGGTGTTCTTTTGAACATGACCCAAGTACCGACCGTAGGTCACCATATTCAGCAAATATCTACATGATTGGAAAAATCTAATAAAGTTCACATACTTCTCTACTATTTTTTTTCACTTTAAGCAATAGCCTTACCACTACGCGTTTAATCTCGAATTAAAAAACAAAACTTCAACTATTTATTAAAATAATATACCTTTAATAAGAATGCCACGACTACGTATCGATTAACAACAGCTTCCAGGTCTTGAGACGGCAGAAGTATGTATACAACACTCTGAGCTTTATAAAAAACCAACGTATGGACGGCCAACAGGAGGCATACTGCAAATATCATGTTGGCGAAATGTGAACAACAGGTAATGGCAAATTGTCCGACTGTCCAAAAATCGATGGTTATTCTACCGCATCGTTTCGATTCACTCCATGTATGTATACAGCTCCAAATAAATACGCAGCCACTAAGAATGCCCAGACCCATCTAAAAAGGCGAAAAATGTAAATTATATCCAAACACTTAGGACGACGAAGAACTGTATATATATACGGTATACGATCTTACGTCGACATAATGAAGGATGTCGTTTTCCATGTAAAACTCTACTGTGAACGTCACAAGGAACACATCGCCCAACGATATATTTTCATTAGTTATTTGATCGTATTCCAAAACTATGAAGGGAGGATAGATGTTGCCTTCGTTTTCGATTTCACGTTGTGCTTGGACCCTGCGACGAAAAATAAAATCACTATACGCAATAATTCACTACCCACGTGGTAAACAATATCTAATCATTTTACGCTGACACTTACACAAGTTTAATAGATTTAAGGTATTGTATTACCGTTGGTGAACTTGGGATTTTGGTCGAAACTCCACTAAACTTATCCAACAGAAACATGCGTCTTGTTAATAACCATTGTGACGTATCTCTACCCTTAAATTAAATTATTGCACACGGTATAACTTTTGTATATTGGTATAAATATATGTATAAATATACTAAGTGTGCGAACATTGCAGTATCTTTTTGTGACTAGAGTTTGTAATAGAGTGAGGTAGGTACATATTATTAGTACCATCATTAAACAGTAGTAAACCATACAACCGTAAAATTATGAATCGAAAAATAGTATATTTTACTAACGCAAATGATCTAATTATGCATTTTTTTCAGTGCCGGTCAATTTCAATTCTTTCATGAAAAACTTTAAAATTTAAATAGAAATTACAGCATTCAAAATCGTATTTTTTCCATAAAATTGAAAAGGTACTTGGAACAAATTTTTATCATTATGTCAATTAAGTGCCCATCCAATTACGTAACTTTGGTTTGTACCAAGATTTTTAGTCTAGGTGGTATCCATAATTGGCATGTCATTAACGATAAAGAATAAATAATGCGTTTATTTTAATGTTAATTAAGAAAACTATACATAAATCTAATTTTCTCGCGCATTAACTCGTTTTTTTCAATTTTTAACCTTCATATGGAAACTTTCAAAGAAATAAAAATGCATTTATTTTTTACGTTTAAGGACATGTATACAAAATAAGTATCAAACCGTTGCCAGTTATATACCGTACAAGTTAAAATGTAAACAATTTCTAAACAATCCTAGCCAGTTGAACAAGTGTATTTCTCTGGTTTTTAACCATTGCAGGTATAACAGTTATACTCACTTTATTTGGATATATCGTTCCTACTTTGATGTTCCTCACCAACAGCGGAATCGCATATAACATATTACTTTTGCCATCGTTGTACTGCAAGTAAAGGTCGTAAAATATGGGTTCCGGTGTACCTTGACTGACCATCTGCTTTGCTGATATACTACACGTATGAATATATCTAGCTCCGAAACGAAAAGCCGATTCAATGCCACTCCACAATCCAGGGCATAGATGAAATTCGACGGGCCTCAATTCAGAGATATTAATAAACGATCCATTTAGATGGTATCTAGCAGCTACCAGCTGCAAATTGCTATTCTACAAATTAAACAACAAATTTAATAGTACCTACACTCTGGAATATCAATAACAAGTTTTTGATGAATATAAAGTTATTATTTTGTTTCAATAAACAATTTTACAATTATTTTAACTTAACTACACGCACTCGTATAACACAAACCATTTCAAGATAACTTTTAGATTGTAATTTATGAACTGTTAGAGATTACCTTCTTAACTAATAACTATTTAAGTACAGCTATTACTTATTCTATTTTCTGTTCTTATTTTAATATGGGTTTATCTATACAGAGTGACTCTATATTTACACACCGAAAGTAATTATTAAGCTTGGAAAATAAATCAATTATTCGACTGAAAAAAAAAATGCCAAAGTTAAAGAATACGCAAGTAACTGAAAAAATAAATAAAACACTTCCGATCCATTCAATCTATAAAATATAATTTATATATTATATAAAAAAATGGATTTCTGTTTGTTTATTCTTTATTCATTCCTAAACGACTAGACCGATTGCAACGAAATTTGGTATAAAGATATATTAGACTTATAGGCAGAAGGTAGGTTAAATTAAAATGTGATAGGCCCGACCCCGGATGGTACTCAAACAGACATTTTCAAATTTACGATGGAAATTTTTGTTTATAGATGATTGCTATTAGTTTCAATAATAATAATAATAATTAATGCGAAAGAAATTATAATTTCTGAACTTTTTATTATTTGTTTCCATGGCACGTGCGTCTATGACATTAAAAGTTTTTATTGATATTTTGTGTTTTTTATATAAAAATATACGAATATATATATATTATATATATTGCGAATTTATCACACAGTTTGAGACATACAAGAAGTAAGATTTTTAACAGACTACGCAGTGCATAGGTTCTGCTCGTGATCTATAAATCTTGAATCATTAATTATATGCCGGTATTTATGCATATTATATTAATTTCAAAGAATCGTAAAATAGACAAACCAATGAATACTACTATGAATGTAATATATAGAAATATAGTACGTACATGCTTGCCGGGCTTTATGCTGTATTTGGCCGTAATTTTTTTCCTATTCAAAACAATAGATGCGTCTCCTTCGCCGTAGTAAAGCCAAGGAATAGGCCACCGATCGGCATCAGACGACGTAGGTATGCGCCTATAATCTTTGAACACCTTGCATGGACCAACTTTCCGCTCGTCCTTATACATTTGGATCGCACAAAGGTTACCGAGGGCCTCGCAGGCAGTTCTGTGTTTCATCTGTAAGCCGCGAAATAGTAAACCATCGTAAGATTTGCACAGTCCACACACGTATGATCACGATTAAACTACATAATATTTTACAAAAAAAACGATACGAGGACGATGCTCAGTAGAGTAATTTGACGATCGCGTGAAAAAAAATACCCCATATAAATTGTCAACACGACTAATATATACTATTTTTAAGAAAGTATAACGAGACAAATTTTACAGTAAAACCTGTATAATATGGAAACGTCCGGGACCAAATATTTTTTTTATTTTAGACATGTTTCCATTTAATACAGGTTGAAAAAAAAAGTTACAATAAATTTTTTTAATTTATATATACTTCTTTATTATTTTTTAAATTTTACTAACTTTTTATTATACAAATGTAGTTAAAAACTATATATTTAAAAATTACAAATATGTTTTACTGATAATTTATCTTTTTAACTAGATTCAATTAGTTTTAATTTTTAATTTAAGGTTAAGCATTTATTGTTTTTTGACATACTGAGGTATGTAATAAAAAATAAAAAATATTTAAAATATAAAATTAAATAAAAATTATAAATAATAAAAAAATACCTATGTAAATACAAAAACTTTTTGTAGTATTTTTGTATTTATAAGTACAAACCACTACTACAAGTTATAACACTAATGAAAAAATAGATATAGTGCAACGAAATAATCCTAATCAATATAAATTATATTTATAAACTGATAATTTTCAAATTGGTATTTCTATAATAAACAGGTACCTACATGACAAAAATATTATTTCCATTTCCATGTTAGACAAGTTTCATCTTACTCAGGGCATGATGTATTTAAAAATGTATTAGAGTCGCTGGGACCGGATAATTTTTTTACAAAAGACAGATTTTCATATTATTCAGTTTCCTTGTTAGACAAGTTTTACTGTATTGAGGTACGTCCTATAAACAGAGACGGAGTGAGAGGGGGACAATATGGGCAATTGCTCAAGGCGGTGGTCGTTTGGATGACTATCATGTGTACCGTTTGGGTGAGTGAAATTATTTTTACCTGTGCGAGGAAAAAATCTGATGACAGATACGGATGATATTATTGTTAATTAAAAATAAAGATTTTATACAAAAAACATAGAATAAATATAAAAGAGGGGATATCAACCAATTAAAATACATAAAATGTTTAGGTTTAAAATATTAGGCCAGAGGTTCCCAAACTGTGCGCCGCAGTGTGTTGTCAGGGGAGCCGTGGCTGTGCCTCGACTATGTTATCTGGTCTAAAAATAAACAACGATATTTTACGATGACGAACACCGTCATTTTTATTACCATTATCTTGATTCCTAAAATAAGTTATTATTACTATACTAACCAATTATTATATTTGATATAGATAAACGACTGTTCGTGTCTGGTGAAATTCGTTTTTGCGTTAGTACCTATTTATTACCTATACACGTATACGTATCAGTCTCGGTGTGTTTTAATATTTTGTTAAGTTTCTTAAGAAAATATATATATATATATAGTAAGTTCTGTGATTTTCTTTAAGTTGTAACTTTGTTCTGTGTTTATTTATTATGGATCGATTTTTATTAAACAATCGTAAACGTACGAGTACATGTGAAGGCGAAGAAATTTTAGCATCAACCAGTCGCGGTGAAACAGTAAAAAAGCGAAAATGTCGTCAGTATGATGATAGTTATTTGGATTTTGGTTGTACGTCAACAGAAATTAACGGTGAAGAGAGACCACTATGTGTAGTATGTATGAAAGTTTTGGCATCAGAATGCATGTTGCCGAATAAATTGAAGCGCCATTTAGAAGCAAACCACAATTATATGATTGACAAACCTCGAGATTATTTTATTAGAAAGTTAAAAGAACTAAAACAGGAAAAAAGTACGTTTTTCAAGAATGCATCAATACCAACCAATGCTTTGATTGCATCTTATAAGGTGTCCTATAGAATTGCGAAATGTAAAAAGCCCCATACCATTGCAGAACAACTTATCTTACTGGCTGCTATAGATATGGTAAATATTATGGTTGGTGAATCTGCTGGGAAATTACTCTCAAAAGTGTCTTTGTCCAATAATACGGTTATCCGCAGAATTCACCATATGGCGGAGGACCTCAATGATCAATTAATAGAAAAAATCAAAAAGAGGGAATTTGGGTTGCAGCTGGACGAGGCTACGGATACTAATAAGGATGCTCATTTGATATGCTATGTTAGGTTTATAGATGATGATGTCATGGTAGAAGACCTACTCTTTTGTAAAAATATTACAGCAAGCGCCAAAGCTCAGGACTTATTTGATATTCTTAATAATTTTATGTCAGAAAATATGTTGGATTGGACTAAATGCGTTGGTGTTTGTACTGACGGCGCTCGTTCCATGTCTGGCAACTATGGAGGATTACAGTCACTTATTAGAAGCAAAGACCCTGATGCACTGTGGACCCATTGCATTATCCATAGAGTAGCACTTGCGGCAAAATATCTAAGTCCCGCGCTGAACCAAGTATTAGAATTCACTACATGTAGTGAATGTAGTCAATTTTATAAAAACTCGTCCACTGAAAGCAAAATTTTTCAAAAAATTATGTGACGATATGGGAGCTGAACACTCAAGTTTGTTGTACTATAGCAGTGCACGATGGCTATCTCGTGGTAATGTTTTATCACGTACGTTTGAACTACGGCAAGAAATTTATATATTCTTTAAAGAAGAAGGGCACAAATATGCCAATGAATTTTCTGACGAAAATTTTTTAATAAAATTAGCATACTTGTGTGACATTTTTGAAAAACTGAATGCATTGAACACCTCATTGCAGGGAAATAATATGAACATTTTGAAGTCGATGGATAAAATGACAGCGTTTATAAAAAAACTCAAATTATAGAGAAGACAAATAAATGAAGACACGAGCAAAGATTCTTTTTCCATATTGCAGCAGTTTCTGACCTCTAATAGAGTTGAGATTTCTCAAGATATAAAATCAATTTTTGATGATCACTTATCACAACTAGTAATATGGTTTGAGAAATATTTTAAAAATGAAGACACTGATAAATTTGCATGGATTCAAGATCCATTTAACTCCATTGTTCCATCAGAATTTATTTCTACTGAAGAAGAAAGTCTAATTGAGTTTTCTTGCGACAGTAGTTTGAAATCAAAATTTTTAAATATGGAATTGACAAAATTTTGGATTTCAATAAAAAATGAATATCCCCTTGTATGTGAAAAAACTCTACGTGTTTTAATTCCGTTTTCTACTTTATATTTATGTGAAGCTGGGTTTTCGGCGGTCGCTGTGATAAAAAGCAAATATTGGTCAAAAATCAATGTGGAGAAGGAAATGAGAGTAGCAGTATCAAGTTTGATCCCAAGATTTGAAAAATTATGCAGTGATGTCCAGGCTCATCCATCTTACTAATTCAGTTGTTTTCTACAAATAAACTATGTCTAATTTACTTTACCTAATAAAATTAAAATTAAATATTTCAGTGTATAATTATATAAAATAAATATTTCCATATTATCTATTGAAAATTATACATGTTTGTTATTTTATTAATTTTATTTAAAAAAAGGTCGTAAATTTTTTTAAGGGCGCCATGAGCAAACTTCAGTTCTAAAAGGGCGCCACGAGTAGGAAAAGTTTGGGAACCTCTGTTTTATATGATTTTTTCAATTAATTGTTGAATATATATTATGAGCATTTTCATATAAAGCCAATAGATTACTTTATTATATAGTTACTAATTATATTATATGTAATTGTATTTATAATTTTTTGATTATAGATTACTAACTACTTTTATAGTTATATAATATATTTATTTATTTATTTATTTATTTATTTATTTATATAAACGGACGTGAGTCCTATACAATAATGTAAGTGCAAGAACGGTAATAGTAATAGTACAATGGTATGTGAAATATTATATACAGCGAAATGGCTTAAGAGTTAAAAATTTAAACTAAAATGAATACAGTTACAATGATACATAAGTAGATAAAAAAACATATGAGGTAAGTAATAACAAGGGAAAATGTAAAAATGAGACGTGTTAGACAAAATCAAAGGTAATGGAATTACCCGCAGCCATTAAGACGTTAGCAGGACTGTTCTTTATATATTTCGTTTTATAAGGGATAGGATAGAATAAATCATTGTTCCTTGTGCTAAGGGAGTGTATTTTAATACGAATAGAGGAAAGGAGCTCTTCACAATCAATATTGCCTAATAGTAAATTATGCAAGAATTTAGATAGTAATAATTGTCGTATATTTTTAAGCGGTGAAAGGTTGATAAATTTTAATACTGAGTCGTAAGAACCATGAGGATGCCTATAAATATTAAAATTGAAAGAGATAAATAGTAGGAAATTATTTTGAACTGATTCGATAGCTTCTGTTTGCTTTGAAGTATTATTAGTCCAAATTAGTGGGCAATATTCTAAGTTAGAGCGAACAAGGGCACAGAATAAAATTTTTAGGGATAGAGAATCCCTGAATAAACCACAGGTTTGTTTAATAATATTATATATAATAATATTATCAATATTCGTATCAATATTTTTTTTTAAATATAACTTACTATTAATTATTTATATTTTAAATAATTTTGTTTAATTAATTGTTGAGTGTAAGCATTTTTATACCATACAAACGGTATATTTAGTTAAATAATCCTCGCCCAAACAGTATATATCTATTCGTCTAAACGGTATATATTTATTCGCCCAAAAAGACTATATTTTGAGTCGATTTGCCTAAACGGTGTACGCTCATTGCTCAGGGCCCCGAAGTTCTAAAATAGTTTTTACTGTGTTGAGATATAACTGAATTTAAAATATTTTATTAATAGAAATTATAAGACCCAACATTTATTTTGCCCAAGGCCTCGCAAACTAACGCCGTCACAGCCTATAAACAAGGTATGGCCAACATTTATAGATTTTTGATTGACTTCTCAGTTTTTCTAGGTTATCACTAATTAAAAATATATTTTATACACATGCACAGTGCCAGATTACCCATTAGGTGGAGAAGGCACCCACCTTAGGGCCTCACTCATTTAAGGGGCCCTGTGAAAACGGAAAACTATATTTTTATTTAATAATACCTATTTATTAACGAATTTACGAGACAAAAATCACTATGAAATATAATATATATTAAGTTGTAGGTGTTATAGGCAGTAATAATAATAAAATTATTTTGAAAAAAAAAAAAGAAGTAATAAAATAATTAATTAATTATTCTTTCAAATAAAAAATGTAATAAACATGATTTTATTTATTAATAATAGTTTGTTATTATTAAAGCTGTTTGTTTTAATTATTGGATAGTAATGTTAAAGATGTGTGTAAAAAATAATTTTGTAGGGCCCAAAATTTTAATTGCCTAGGAACCCACAAATGCTTAATCCAGCACTGCACATGCATGTTACATTTCTAATTATTTCTTCTATTTGAAATATTAATAAGTAATAATAAACTTTAATCTTACAATTTTATATAATACGTATTTTAATATATTTTTTATCGATTTATACGAACGTGATAAAGACCGTTAATATCAAAATTGTTAATACGCAATATCCATTAGATTACGTACAATATAACTATATAGCTACTCGTTCTCAATGTACCTATAATTCCATTTTTCATAGTTATTTATTACTATTTACCATTACTATATATTGCCTTTATAAATTGATATTGATCAAATTTTTATATTCGTGGGTCAAACAAAGATAAGTATAAGCATTTAAAAAAAAATAAAAAAATATTTTGTTTTGTGACAAAAAATTAAAAGGAGTCTGTTGGTGACCCCTACTATAAACGATAAATTATTTTTCTGAGGCATTTACCTATGTCACCCATAGTTTTAGCCATCCCAAAATACACATTATGACAATAATTACAATATACAAATAAGCATTATCGTAAAAAATACGAGTAGTTTAGTTTTTTTTCATTACTTTGACGCATTCGTGCAGAAAAGCTCTCAGGTGCTTTTTCATATAGTCGGACTCCACGGTCACGCTGACCGCATCGTATTCAACAATATATGTGTCCTTTTCGTCAGGCCAAGATGTTAGATTTGCTCGGAAAACGCACAACGTTCCATCCAAAAGCAGCTCGTGCGTTGTCAGTGGGCATGTACAGTTCGTCACCGGACAGGGCAAACACTTCGCTCGGTCGACCGACGGCTGTGTCCCAGGCGCGCAACGAATGCACGATTTCGATGCCAATGCCGATCCGTTAACTTCAGTTTCCACTAAATATATATATATTACATAAACGTAATCATATTTCGCACAGGTGGGTTTGTATAAGCAACGTAGAAGTATGGTTAAATGTCAATCCTAATTTACGAGAGAAGTAAAAATCCTACTCGGAGAAAATAGTCCTTCCTATAGTTCATATTATTTCAAGACTCTTGTAAAGTTTTTTTTTATAATTGGGTTGTTATATTTACTAAAAAATGTTGTATGTGTACTCGTATATAGGGTGCGCGAAACCGACTGACGAGTTCAATAGAGTCATTAGTCTAAGTAATAATAAATGCAAGCCTTAATGGTGTATTTTTAATTCCAGGGTTATACCTATGTTTTTAGTCACAATCATGATTTGGACAGGTGTACATCGTGGTTTTATTGTGTACGTGTATTACGAAAATAATCCTTCTGTAATTTCTACATAAAATCTAGACTTCGGTATTCCACATCTCAAATCTATTGCTCCAGCTAATAAAATTCAATTTTGGATTTTGGATTCGGCAACTGGAAGTACCCTAAGTGGACGTGGACAATGTCTAAAAAATATGACTCAGGTTACTTAGGTATGTATAGTTTCAACGTGACAAGGATATAGCGTATACAGCTCGAATTTCACTTGCTGTTTTGCAATAAATGTTCCCTGAGCAACTGGTTTCTCTGGAGGGTGCCATAGGCTGACAAACACGATCCCCTGATTTGAACATGTATAATTGAATTTGTATAATTATTGTTATTGTTATTGTTTATTGTATAATTGTATAACATGGATAATGTGCACCTAAACTCACATAGAAAACCTTAAAGATAAAGTCACGGAAAAAATCGTGTTCATACCAATCGAAACATTCCAAAATCATTCGAAAACTTCTGTTCTCATCTGCAAAAATGTATTGATGCTTACGGTCATCATCTTGGAAAAACAATTTTCAAAAATAGGATATCCTACTAGTTTTAATGAAATAAACTGTTCTTCTCCAAATCTCAGTGTTCGTTATTTATAACTCTTTGAAATTCGTTAGTCGGCACCACCACTCTGGAATATTGATGAATATTATTAAAAATTTCCTAATATGTGAATATGTTTATCTTTTACAAAAAATTCCAAATCGATATGCATAATATTTCGTGACGTCTGTCATCCAGAATTTATATCACCTGTTTGTTACAGTATAAAATGGTTTAAATAATTTACACTACAAATGTTTGTAATTATAGATTACTTATTATTGAACAGATATATGGTCCAGGTAAACACAATAAATTCTTTGATCACTAAACAACTAAAAATTCAAATTGTTTTACATGACTGATAATAAAATCATTGAAGAGTTGTAGACAAAAACCAATAATAATAGTTACAATAAGTACCAAAGATTATGGATAACTTAAATGATTTCTAAATTTTAATTAACTCTCATTCAACGGGTCGTTTGTAGTTTGTATAACTGTATAGATTACAGAGCACATTGATCAAGAAAATAAATAAAATTGCAAAAATAATTTACTTTCCTAATTTTTCCAAATATATAATTAATAGACCTACTAATTTCATTTTTTATAAACATCAATATAAAATAAATATTCACTACTAAAATATATTAACTATATATTTTAAAAAATATGAAATACGAAACAAGTCTACAATAAAAACTTAAAAACATCACAAATTAAAATTGAATACAGTTAATATCATCTATAACAACAATCATGTTACAATATGTAATAGCAAAAACAATACTGTTAATAATTTGATTACGAATTGAAGTAATAAAAAAAAAATTACAAAACTAGTACTTATTTGTATGGAACATAAAACATAAATTAATAATTTAAATTCAATTTTATTGATATCATTAACTTATAGTATAAAATTCATTGATAATAGTATATTGAATTAGTTTTTAAATTTAGGTATACAACTTAATTCCAATCAAATTATTCATGAAAAATTAAATACCACAATACTGTTAGACCATTAAATTACATAAACAATTGAAGAATATTCAGCTAAAATATACATGTAATATTTGATTTCAAGCAATGTTGTTATAGATTATATAAAATGTATAAAAATTTTTACTATGCCATAATACATTTTGGGTTTATGAACACATTCATTGATAGAATATTTTAAATAATAATATATTTTATGTAATATTATAAAAAAATGATATGAAATAATACTACTGAATGCTGATACTTAAAATTTAAATAATAAGAAGTAAATGCTTAAATCGTTTAAATATCAGAAATATTTTACATGGATCAACAATTCTTAATCTAAGGTAGTACACAGACCCCAGTAAAATAATCTTTAAGCCAAGACCCCCAAGTTTATGAGCAAAAAAATATGAGTTTTAATTATATCTGCACAAAATTGTTTGTACAACCATGAAAAACTTAAACAATAATGTTAAATCATCTGGGTGCCTCTAGCTAACTAGATTAAGAAGTGCTGACATAGAAAATACTTATAATCAATACAACCTACACTCAATATCTTTTGATCCACATGATACATTAGTTCTTTTTAAACAATGTAAACGATCCAAGGATACAATTGTGTTTGATGGACATGGTTCACATACTTTGTTAACAAATCTGTTATTTTTGTCACAAATGCAACTCAAACCTTGATTTACAAAAAACCATATTAATTTTAAGAATAATTAGTGATATTTTCTACTCACGATCAATGGATGATTTTTTTCGATCATCACATAGAACACACAACATTAAACTAGGAACATAAAATTCATGATCAGAACAGTTTTTCGGTGCAATATATGTAACAATTTCTCCATTAGGCAAACAAAATTTTACAACGTTTAAAATAATTACTAAATATAATAACTCCATAATTTTATAAGATATTAGATTTTTAATCTACAAATAAATAATTGAACCATTTACCAAGCAAATAAATACATCATAGACAAAAATCTATGATTTTAACATTGCCTCAACATATATAAGTTGTTATGACTCAATTCCCATGGCAACACAATAGTAATAATAAAATGAGATGTTTACATTCAGGTTAAAAAATATTCTTATCATTTTATAACAGTATTTTTGGTTCTATAAATCTTGTTTTGAATATAATTTTATACATTATCAGACTCTACATTATAGGGGGAATAATTAACATTTTTTTTTTTTAATAAATAACTCAATATGTACACAAAAAAAATTTAACATATATAAGTGCAAAAAGTTATAAAGTTATATTAAGACCAAAAAAGAATGTGATTATTTAATTATTTTTGTTTATTATTATTAATTTTTTCTTTTTTTTTTTTTTTTATAAATAATAATCAATCTTTCTATGTTTCTGAAATTGAGTCTTTGTCAACATGTTCCTTTTTATACTTCAACAAAAATGCAGCTAAGAAACCAAGTGGATCTGGTGGCCTGAAAGTATGAAAACAATTAATTAATTAATTTACTGTAGATATTTTTGGTAAAGTTTATACTTAAAATAAATCCAATAAAAAAAAAAAAATTACCAATGGCAATGACAAAATTATATAGAGGTAAAAATTAAATTAAAATTTTAAAATTTTATAGTTTAATTTTTAGTTTTTAGATTGATCTGAAAATCATTATCACAAATTTTTCTTTCTGATTTTTGTGTTTACCGAATTTAATATTAATTTTAAATTAACAAAATATGAACTTAAATAAATTACAGGTATTGAAGATTTTTAGGAATACAATTTTAGAGAATAACTGGTATTCAATAATAAATTAAGTGAACAGCTTTTAACATAACACTAATTAAATATTTTTCATTCATAACTTAATATTTACATCAGTATAACACAAATAAATTTTCCAAACTTATATTTTTAGTTTCATGTCAGTTTTAATAATGAACTTTCAATTTGTATCACCTATTAACAATTTACTTTAATTTAATTAAAATAAGATGAATATATTACATAATAAAATAAACCTTATAACAGACCTGTTATAAAATGTAAATTACCATAGAATAAAAAATAACCAGTGTTTTTAAAATACATACTCAAATGACATATCTTAAGTAGAATCTCTATTAACTGATAATGGAAATATTATTGTTTTAACAAAAACAAAAAACTTTCAATACATGGGAAAATAAAAACAACTGATAATAAAATAATACAATATAGGTAAGTAATACCTTATAAATGACTCTTCTACAAGACACAAATACAAGATTTTAAAATGACAAACTTGTGGTAGGAAGAACTAATGTGACTTTAAATTGTTATTTTAAATACTGAGTATTAGGATTAACAACAGAAACTCAAGAAAGTGAAAACGAAAAAATATAAAATAATTTTTTAAAATTATAAAAGTAATAACTGTGTAATAAAATAAAAAATATCTAATGATATTAAAATAAAAAATTGTTTATATATGTATATAATTAAAAAATATTTTTAATTATAAATTATATTTAATTTCAATTTTTTTTTTTTAAATTTCCCTATAATGGATACTCGTTTTTCTTGGAAAATTAAGGGTTTAGTTTCCTAAATTTTTTTGTTAATTTTGAGGTTTTACTGAATTATATTAAACAATGACAACAACGGTTGCTTTCTACTTTAAAGTTAAGTTCCTATTTTATATGCTATATTAGAATATTAAAATATTTTGAATAAATAAGTAGAATTTTAAATCTTCAATATAATATGTAAAGAAAGTATATTATATTTAATTATTTTGATAACATTTGAAAATAAAAATAAATTTACGCTATACTGAAATATAAATACTAAGGTTGTTTTTATTTTTTAACTTTTAAAATTGTAATTTACTACAACCCCACTATTTTTTTTTTTACTATGAGTAAAAAATCTAGATAAAATTTATTCATGATAATTCAACCACTTCAGATAACTTAAGAAAAAAAAAATGGCCAAAGAAAGTATTTTCATGGGTTTTCATATATAAGTCTAGAAATTTAGCTTATAGCATAATTGTGGCAAGGGCAAGAAGTAAGCTATTTCAGTCGTAGGCAACATATGAGACACGAGCCGCATTTCACTCAAGACTGAAATTGCCTTTCCTTCACAAGTCACACCCCTGGGTTTGTGGAAAAGGTAATGCAGAGATTTGTGCAACAACAGACTATTCTACAAAAATAATTTCCACTTTATTTATTTATAACTATAATTTGTAAGAGCCATGGTATACATTTCAATTTTTGATTATGATGGTAATATGCGCCTGACACTTTTTGGGATTTCAACTTTATCACCCAGCACTATGAAGATTCCCACTTTACTGCTTGCTGGACTGAAAATGGTCACTTTCTAATGCTTCAACCATGGTTGTAAACAAACTTTAAGTGCAGGTGTGATAAAAAAAAATAAGAACACAATATTTTAAGTAATTAGGAAAAAAGATTTTTAATTATTATCTAAATATATTTAATGAACTGTTGAAGATGGGATAAAAGTATTAATTTAAATATCATACAAAATTTAATTTTCTATCAAAAAAGAATTTAAATAACAATTGTTGTTTCAGAACTAAAGTACCACAAATAACCAATTAATTTTGTTATTGCACAACTTGAAAATTTATCATCAATATCTTTATAATCAATAAGACTTAAAATAAATAATACACCTTGATATGCAGCTTCTGGCAATATGAGAATAAAAACAATTTTTTGTATATAAACAAAAATAATAAAAATACACTTATGTCGACGTGCTTTTTTTTTTTTGTAGGCATCATTTGAAACCATTTTTGAAAATATAAATTTTGAGATAATTTATTGCCTTCACTATCCATTGAACATGGTGTTAAGCTTCTTGTATCTGAAATAATACTCTTCAAATATGAGTTCTACCAAGAAAAATGATAGAATAGTTCCAATAGTTCCTAGTAGTCTTCTCTAATCTGCTTTTCTTTGGAGATATCAAGTGCAAACTGAAGAATTTGATCTTTAACTAATAATAAAATAATAAATACATTTTGATCTTCTATATTAGAATTGCAATTGTCCGTGTTTATATTTTTCCAATTATCTTGAAAATATTAAAATAGTGAAATATTTGGAACAAAGTAGATTCAAATTTTTTTTTTCTGAAAACACTACAAACCCATAAATATGATGAAAACAAAAAATATTAACTATATATTTTCTAAATAACTATTCTAATAATATACATGCCCCTTTTAACTTCAGTATTTGATGCAGTAGTATCACAAAAAACTGCAACAAATGAGTTATGAACACTCCATTTTATCAATAATTTGTCAACATTTTCAGATTGTTCTTTAGTTCCAGAAGACAATTTCAGAACACTAAGTAGTTAATTACACCCTTTAGATGATATTACCGGAAACCTTTCAACTAAAAATTTATTAATTAATGAAGGGAGCATTTATTCATCGTAGTGAAATAATACATTTTTAAATAAAATTACATTAAATTTTTTGCCTAATTAGAGATTATCTTTTGTTAAGTCAATTTTTATCAACTCTATGAATTAGAATTATACTGTTTTTTATTACAGTATCTGTAACAGTTTATCAATTTTATTTAAATAATAATGAAAAACTTTTGCTTATATATTTGCTATATATTATATATTGCTATATATTTTGCTATATATTATATATGTATATAAAATATTTTTGTTTTATTTTATTTATCGAGAAATAATGCATTTTCAAGAAAACATATTAAAACACTATTTCCAAAAAACCTTATATACTATCATAAGAATAATACTCATTTTTTTTCATACTAAATGCTTTAATTTTAGATTTAAAATCAAAGAACCATAAAATTACTCTCTTTGGCTATTTTCCACCCTCTTTTAAGACATCTGAAGAGGTTGAGAAATCAGAACAAAAATGTATCAACCTTTTTTTTTCATAGTTATGAATACAATTGAGGTAGCAAATCGAACGTATCAAATTCTTTTCACATTCTATGACTAAGACCATCCTAATATATACAGATGATATTGATACTGCATAGTAAAATTAAACCATTATTACAGTAAGTCAACCCCAGTCCAGTGCTGCTAAAATAAATAATTAACGAAAACAGTAATGTTCATTATTTACCTTTCCTTGACCAACTCCTTCATGCCTACCAACAATGCTGGTACAACAGTTTGGTCTAAATATTGACGCATTGGAGCATTGTGCTTGGAATCTTTTTTCAGTCTTTTGGCATTATTCTCGGAAGTGGTAACCTTCTTTATAGAAAAATCAATATTAGTCAGGTACCTTAATATTGGTTAAATTTCAGACGGTCCATCGTTGACGATAACAACGACTACAACAACGGTGATGAACGACCCATACCTGAGATTCTGATACACTTGATTCAGAAGGCGCGTCCACTGTCGGTGCTACAGGAGTAGTGGGCACTTGTCCGTTCGTCGTTTCTGTGCGTGAAAAAAACGGAAAATTGAAGTTGTTACAGACGGCATAGGTGAGCCGCGCTCAAAACGCTAATCGTTAACAACAAAAAAGATATTATTTTCACGAAATATGAGCTTACCCGACGTTGACATGACGCCTGAGACGAACTGTATTCGTTTTTAATTGAATATTTAATTGTATGTACGTTTAAAGAATCTTTACGTACAGATAGTGTAATAACAGATCTATAAAATTATAATAGGAGTATAAGACTATAAAGATAAAATGATATAGAAAATCACGATAATAACGATAGTTTACTGTCGAATAGGCGATTGCGGAGCTGGAGACACTGTCTAAACTACACACTATTTCTGCTATAGGTTTTGGCACCCTGCGCGCGCCACCTTCGTTCATTACCCGATTACCCTGCGGCCTCTCCACTCTCGTCACCAATACTATAGCAGTCTCTTTATCTATTTTTTTTTTTTTTTTTTTTTTTGTAATCTTTTTTTTTCTCCGCCGCTCTTTTCTACATGACGTTTTGTCGAGCGAAAGATTTATTTTTATACACAGTTTAGTTTGTTGCTTGGTGTTGCCGCCGCGTTATTGCACGACCATTGCCTGGGAACAGACCTGAATCGCCATTCACTGATTCAGATGAATTATGCCCCTTTGCATCAACGATAACACTTTGGTAATTTGCATTTTTTTTTTACATTTTTTGAAATATCGTATCTTAACACACATGTTTTTTACTAATGATACTCATATTTCCGCTATTGCCCACCGATACGTTCTTGCGAACAATCCGTTTGTGCTCCGTCTAATGATTTGTGTTATAATATTGTTATGCTGTTAATATAAACCGTGCATGTAATAACCACTACTCGTTATAAGTCAATAATTTACCATTGGGAGTCCAGAGACTTGTTTTATACTTATGTCTATTGCTATTCTTTCTCCTTTATTTTTTCCCTCATTGCTTTTACTACACATACTTGTTTGAATATATTTTGTCATTCACTGTAGTTAATTTCAGATGTGTATGCTTCTTTGTTATTATAATTGTTTTTAAATTGTGAACCAATTGATTATGGATAATATCAATGATAATCAATCTAATATCCCTGATCTTCAACTTAGTGATATCAGTAAGTATATCATTGTCAGTTATCCAATAAATATATTTTTTAAAATAGCCAAATAACATACATTATAAAATTTGGTATATAAGTAACATATTTTAATATTACATTATTTTACATATATACATTACATATAAAATTGACCATTGTATTATAATATTGTTATATATCATTGTACAATATTTAATCCCTAGTGTATTACATTTTGTAGCATTTAATCATGATACTATTTTTAGTTTTTCTCTATAACAAATTAATTTAATTGTTGTATAATAAATATGTTGGTTTTGTAAATTTCAATTTAAAAAAAATCATGTATTTGATCGCATGAAAAAATGTGTTATTAACTTAAAATTATGTTGAGTACATAGTGGTATAGTTTATTATGGCGGCTACAATCTCCATTTAAACATTTGTAACCCCTTGCTAATGACATAGTATTTTATTTAAAATTTGTAGTAATAGAAATTAGAATTAGTTTTTTTTAAGACTTTCTATAGTTCCTAACAATAATTATATTAATCTACATCTTTGATATATATATATATATATATATATATATATATATATATATATATA